ACGTAGTGTAATATAAACGCTGGCCGCCTACCTGTAATCAACCTAAGTCACTTCATCATGAACCCTGCATCACTGGATAAGGAGGAATAAAACTGGAGGTAGGCTCAGTAACACTGCTGCATGTGCTGTCCTGTATTGTCAATATATACGGATAATATGACTTCTTAATGAATCCCATACCTATAAATTTGATTATATATGATCATGATTTTATGAAGAAAAAATAAACAAATCAACATTCAGAAACTGTCGTAACTCTGTCTGTCACAGAACATCAAGAAGAAGGAAGCAGGCGCCAAAGCGCGGCCCATGGGTGGCGGCCTGCTCCCACCTCCTCCAGGTGCAAAGGCGGGAGGAGTCATACCTCCTCCCGAGGGACAGCAGACCGTCTCTGAACCGACCAACACTGGTGACCACCGTTCTTCTCTATCAAATCACACTTTTTTAAACATCTGCGTATGAATGAAACAATATTCATGCTTTCTCATTTGTTTTCATTTCCAGCGGCTCTTTTTGACTTTGGGTCCCCCGTCCCTGCAGCCCAACCCGGCTCTGACATGTGGGGAGATTTCACATCCGCAGGCTCCAAGTAAGTTTTGTTTCCTTTTCTTTTTCCAGAAAATATCTTCTTTTATTTTTGTCCGTGTACTCATCCATCGTGTCCGTCTGCATAAATTTGGTTCCATTTCGACAAGTTTTTTTTCTTTTTTTTTTTTTTTTTTTAATTCTGTCCCTCTCCATCACGGCTCTCGTCTTCCACCCTCCTCTCCCTCCACAGCTCCAGTAAAGATGCTGTCAAATCAGGATGGGTGCAGTTTAGTTGAGTTGTGAGAAACGTGCACACACTCAGGTTGCATACATTCCATGGACAGGACGATTGTGGAAACAAAAGAAAACTAAAAAGAGAGGAACTGTTAGCAAACTTGACCGGCTCATTCACTGCACCTGTTCTGTAAAGAATCTGTTGACATAAACTAAAGCCCGCTGACCAACACTCTCTGGAGGAACAAACAGTGAAATGTATATATTTTTTACAATCTTATTCATATGCAGTGGGGGGGTCTTTCTTTCCCTTTCACTGTTAATCTGTCCAGAAATCAGATTTGTGTCCCTTTATAGTCTCGTCTTTACAGCACAATGCATTTGTTTTCCTGCTCCGATCATGCAGTTATCTCATTACACCAGCACCACTCATCTCAAGGTTGTTTTTTATCATTTGGAAAAAGGTAAATGGTTTACCTACTGAAGTATCCATGTTTCTTTTTCTCTTTTTGCTGTATACCAGTACGTGTGTTGTTTCTGTTTCCTAGTACTTTTAGGAGATCTTGCAAAGCTATATTGATATTTGATTATGAGTTTTACATTTCACCTCTATAGCCTTCATGAAAAGATAACAGATTTTAAAAATCACGTTGTTGAATAAAAAAAGTCATGATTGCCATTTTGTCTTTTGTTCAGAGTTTGAAGAGTTTTTTTTTTTTTTTTTGGGTTTATTCATGTTTGTTTTTGTGTCCGACCTTCATGTGTCTTCGCCTCGTGTGTTGTTGCTTTTTAAAAATGTGCCTTTTACCAAATTGACACTTCCTTCCTTGTTGCTAATTTGCATTGAGTATTTGATTAAGTGCCTTTCTGAAAAAGATCTCTTCTTGTCTTGTAAATAAACAGTATATTTCATCGGCTCTTGTTTTGATTTATGTTGTAAAGTAGTCCACTCATGAGATTGTAGAGCGTGTTCTCCATTTACAGCAGCAGTATGTTCTGAGTGTTGGACCCATTAAAAGCTTTTGGCATGAAGATGTTCATAATACGAGGAGAACATAGAGTACTGTCTTACTTTCAATAAGTTTCAGTTACATAATCTAAAGGATTGTTTTTAAGATGGCTAGTTTTTATTTTTTCTTATTAAACTTAATTTAGGAAATGTTGATAAATTGTCTTCAAGTTATTTTATTGTTCTGAAATTGGTCATATGTCCATTTATTACAAATCATAGATTTAGCCAAATTTTCTGTCTTTTCCATGTTTTGAAACACCGAAAGTGATTTCTTCAATAGTAATATATGTTATTAGGATTTCTTTGATTCTTTTATCTTTTAATTTTATCCAAAGCTACCAGACAACAAGCCAGTGTGGGTACTTTGTATCAGCCCCGGTTTATACCTCATAAAATTATTGCACTTAAGACTTTTACTTTGGACATTTTGAGAAGAACAGAGATAAGACACTATATTTGTGAAAAATAAATTAATAGTACAACTTTGAAATACATTTGGTGTAAGTTTTTGAAACTACGTACAGAAATGACCAAATGTCAGCTAAACTAATTAAAATATAAAGATAATTTAGTCATATTTGAGGTATGAAACTAAACAGGAGTTCTGGGGTTCAGGAAATAATAATTCACATAATTTAATAATAATAATTATTTGGTAATATCTAGATGCGATAGACTAGTTCCGGGTATATTTAGGATTATTCTACTAATAATCTGTATGAAAACAAAACAATGTTTAAAGAGGGTTTCCACTGAAATAATCAGAACATGAATCCAGCACGATGACAGACGGCAGTGTGTGTCTGCAGACTGCTGCTGAGTGAACTGGAAGTCCCTCCCCGGAAAAAGCATGGAGGAGATTTCGGAACAAGGCAACAGCGCCTGCAGACAGCAGCTGACACACTGAGTATACCCGCTGTGGATGAGCTCTGTTTCTGCCTCTGTGGTCCTACAGCCCGCTCACAGGGATGGAGGGTCGGCCGGACAAAGCTCATCGGACTGATCTCTCGAGGTGAGACAGTAAGTGAGACAGGGAAGTGGATGTTGTGAGTGCAGCGCAGCACACAGTGGATGTCGCTACATGAAGCGGGTTCATATCCAGGTTGTTGTTTCCACAGCAGCGCGCTTGTGTTTGTGTCTCAGACTGCTGCTGCTCAGAGACAGTAAACCTTTATTTATAATCTGTTTAATTTGCTCTGATGCTGCGAGGTTTAACGTACAAGACCCCCCTCCTCTTCCTCCCTCCTCTTCCTCCCTCCTCCTCTATCCTCCAACTTTTGAAAACTTAGGCGTGTCCCTTTGGATGTACTCTTCATGTAGTCTGCTGCGGTTGCAGAAAGAGGATGTTGGTGATCAACTAAACACACAGTAGATGTTCCCTTTATGTGTGTGAGAGAGAGAGAGAGGAAGCAGTTGAAGTTGATTCCTGACTAGAGATCAGAGTATTTATTCATTTGTGATGTATTAATATTATAATACCATGGCTGGTTGTGAACGTAAAGGCTGATTGAAATGAAGCTGGAGTGAAAAAGTGTTGAGTTTGGGATGAACTGGTTTGTCTGTGGAGGTGAAAGATCAACAGGTGTGTGTTTATTTCATCAGGTGAAAGCTCACATGAAATCAGTGTCAGTCATCTACCAACAGGCCAGCTGGGGGCGCTACAGATGTTAAACAGCTTAAACTAAATGGTCTTGGTGTGATCAGTTTCATGTAGGGATGATATATTGTGTGGCTCTTATCTCCAAATGTACTGTTATACTTATGAGGACCTCTTTAAACGTTAGACCCCGAGGGAGAGATGCAGTGATGAGGGTTAAGGTCAGTGGCTGGTGAATGCATTTTGTCAGTGAGGGTCCTCACAAGTATACAACTACAAACAAGCGTGTTTGTGTGTGTGTGTGTGTGTGTGTGTGTGTGTGTTCAGGCCGGGCTGGGGGTCTGGTCCTGACACAATGATCTTCTTGTAACTATGACAATCCAAACACAGAGCGGTGTTGTGCAGACCCCCTCAGCTTAATGCTGGTGTCATAGTTTTATATTCACGTGTCTCCAGGCTCCTTTTGAACAACACTGATGTTACATGTACTAATAATTACTTAATGTGTCGAACTTTAATACTACTACTAATAGTACTGTAAACTGGGACTGTTGTAACACATGGTGACTTCTTGTTGCTCTAAAACTAAAGCTAATCAATTAACTATCACAAAAGACAAATAAAAGCAGCAAATCTTCACATCTAACGACCTGTTTTTTTTTCTGGAAATGAACAACAACATTTAAACGATGAATAGATTAACAGTGTTGATTGTCTTTCTTAATCGACTTAATTAACTGTTTTAACTTAACACATTGTTGTCGACTTTAAAGACGAAGGTGTGTTTGAGTGCGATTGATATTTTTATCTCCATTATGTTTTAAGTTCTGTGAGCTCAGTTTTTGAACGTACCAACCAAACCAGTCTTATCTGTGAATGTTACCAACATTAACTTTAGTAGACCCAAACTCAAGGATCTGCAGTTGTGTTGATTCTGTAGGTCCAGCTAACTGAGGTTGATTTACGAACTGGACAAATCGGGCAACTGCCCCACCCCAGGACCCCAGAACCTCAGGAATTATGTGGTAATTTGATTACTGATTAGTGTAAATTGAAATGGAAAGGGCTTTAAGATGGCTCCTGCATTTTTACCCAAATCGGAGGGTCTCTACGGGGCATCGTGTCAAAATCCAGTTTTAATACCTTTTAATCTTTCACATTCTTAAACCTGCAATAACATTTTTTTTGTCTACTTGGGAGAAGCAGAAACAAATGGGAACAAACTGACTTATCGTCCTCTTGGTATGCTTTGTATATAATATATAATATAAGCCATACGTCAGTACGCTAAGTTACGTTGAGTATGCACGGCTGCATGTAAACAGGGATGTTAGTGGAATATTAACTTTCATGAACCGCTTTGTAAGAAAATAGTCTTTTTCAGAAAATAGTCTTTTTCAGAAAATAGTCTTTTTCAGAAAATAGTCTTTTTCAGAATAAGGGCAAAACTGCAGTATTTTGTGCACGTAAACAAAGTTGTGTAGGTTCACCATAAAACTTTATATTATAGCATATTATAACCAGACTGAGTTGGGGAGCACATGGGGCCTGCGGCTGACTTTTGCCCTGGGGCCAGATAACCGGTCAATCCGGCCCTGCAGCTGTGCTAAAGCTGCATGGTGGGTTGTTGGTTCTCACTGGAATTGGCCGTAAACTAACAGCATTAACTTATAGAAATATATCTTTGAACTAACTTGCACACAAAAACACAAACATAAACATTTAGAAAGAAATTATAAAAAAAAAAGGAATATATGGTGAGAACAGGTTCAAGTTTTTTTTCTTGAATGGTGAGGACTATTAAAGTTTTATTTCGGCCTGTCTTTGTTTTGGTCTGGAGGGTTTTTGAATGAGAGCAGTGAGAGTGGAGTAGTGGAGGAGGAGGAGGAGGAGGAAGAGGAGGAGGTGTGCGTCTTAAACCCTACTAATCCTACTGTCCTCAATCTCTGCCTGCCTGTACGGAGGAGGGGGCGACAGGACTCACACTCTCTGCACCTCTGCGACCAAAACTTTATCGGCTCCGACAGCAGCACATAAACCAGCTCCAGGTTGAGAACTGTCCCCCTTTTTTTATCGCACTGGACGGCTGCAAAGCGAAAGACGACCCGTTCAGCCTGTGAAGAGGTCGCGTTTACTCGGAGTTAATCCTCTTCGCTGGAGGATTTTTAAATATCTGCGATGAGCGCTGGGGAAAACTCAGACACCGACTCCAACAAACTGGAGTCTGTGATACAGGTGAGACACACCGGGCCTTCCTCCATCCCCCGACCCCCCCGACCCCCCCTCATTATGGCTGATTTAACACACAGTGCTGGTGTGTGATGTGACAAATAAAGCTGCTGGCTTATGTGAGTGCTGCTTGGTTGTTGTTGGAGGACATCCTTGTGTTTCACTTCCATCATCTTTCAGTTTATTATACATTGTTGTCATTGCCTGTTTATGTTGTTACGTGTTTTCTGGGGCTGTCTTCAATGTCAATTTATCTCTAAGTGTCTCAAAAGGTAAAGCAAATGTCTGTGTTTTGTGCATCAGAGGCTGGAGGAGAGTGTTTTGTCTGAGGAGAAGAGGCTGACCGTCCGGGGCCCTTCACCAGATGCCCCCCCTACATGCTTGCCAGCACGAGTACGAGAGATTGTCACAAAGAACCTCACCGATAGCTGTGAGTTGCCACACTCTTTATCTCCCATTGTGTCAAATGTATTTTTTGTTCTTCTTTGCCTGAGTGTCGTCCCTGTCTCTCAGCAGCTGGAGCCATGTCCTCGGTCATGTCCCTCCAGGAGGAGAACCGAGTGCTGCAGGGAGAGCTGGCGAGGCTGGAGGACCTGCTGGCGCACAGCCGGGCGGACCGAGACGAGCTCGCCATCAAGTACGGGGCAATTAGTGAGAGGGTAAGGCAAGACGCCGGGACAACAGCAAGCAAACAAACTGACTGCAAGGTGGAGCGGGCAGAGTAGGAAGAGTGAGTTGAGAATTGGATTTAAAAAATAAAGCAGAGAGAGATGCTTCATATGGCTGTGAGTGATGTCGCAGTCATTTATCCTGACTGACCGATGTCCATCATCTGCACCCTTTATATGAAAAGTAGAAGTGAAGAGTATATACACCTAAAGGGGATGCAGAGGCACTTTCCCCTTTTTTCCCATTTCAGTATTTCCCTGGTGTTTCTTTGTCTGAGATTTGCTGGTCTCCCAGGTGATGGGGGCTGGAATGAACTGAAGTGGAATGTTGCCATGGCGTCTGTCACCCTGGGCGACTGTAAACAGGGGCTTCAGTGGAGAGGAGAGGAGGCGTAGTGGTGGGTGGGCGCCGCATCTCGTTTTGGGTTGAACATTAGTTACTACAGGAAACACGCAGGGCTGCATCCCAAAAACAAAAGACAGCTCAGATGAAGTTCTGTTTCCTTTCACAGAAATACGGTCCCTTATAAAACTCTGTTTATTAAACATTTATTAAACAGCACGTCCTTGTAACACCTATGCCAGAGCAATGTTTGTCCCACATTTAGTAACATGTAGAAACTTCTCTAGGTTAGAAAGATTCAAGGAAGAGAGTGGGCTTAATAGTTGGTCTCCACTTTGGGAGGCTGAAACTCTTGTTGTAGTGCCGGGGTCCCCAAACGTGTTCAAGTCAAGGACCTCCACAATAGATGCACATTAGACCACAGACCCCAAATTTGAGTGGATTTTGTCTTAAGGTTTTTATTTTAATTTTAGGTCTTCAAAGTCAATCCATGGTCAAACTGTGATTACAATAAATTACAATCAATCAAAACAACCCTATTTCTTGTTGTTGCAAATTCCAGAAAAAGTGATAAAAGTTAAAATACTTCCTGGTTTTAATGGGGACCCGGTACGAAACCCACTCAAGGTCACCCCAATTTGAAAAACACTTCTGTAGTAAGTGACAAAAAGAAGTTGGACGTTTTTTGTTTAGCTGCAGGGTTACAGATGGCTACTTTATTTTTTCATACATAAACAGTATATTATATCTGTCGTCCAGTTTTCATAAAAATAAAATACACAATATGTTACTGGGGGCTACAACTATGAGTGCAGCCACACAATGAGCAGGAAAACAGAACAGTGTAAAATCTCATCGGTCATCGCTGCCTGCTAGTTTATGAATTATTAATACTTCACTCCAGTGTTTACAGCATTCACATCTCATGGAGTTGGAAAAGTTTACAAACTTTCCCTGCTAGTGATGTGATTATTTGTGCATAATCACAAAAAAACCTACTATTAATGTCATATTAATTTTAGTAATACTCCCTTATGAAAAAACTGAGTCAGGGTCTTGTAGGTCCTGTAGTGAATGTTACTGGATTAAAGGCAGGTATTAAATATCACAGAGATAGTGGAAAAGACACATTTTACAGAATATGTGATAAACTCCTGTGAGAATAGCCATGTATTGCCCTCAGTAACTTTGCCACTAGAGCTCCAGAACAGCTACCAAAGGAAACTTGTGGTGAGATTGTTTTTGCCAACTGCGGTTTCCAAGGTCAAGAATAAACTTTCACTCTCACATTTTAAGCCAACATGGACGAGAAGTCCTTAAAGTTCTCAGACAATCCATGACAACTGGACAAAATCCATTTTCTGAAGAAGATTGTTTGACGTGATAGAAAACTTTAAGCTCCAAAATACAGAGCATGTTGGGATTTACAGTACATGGTGGTGTTCGGCTAAATTCACATTCAGTAGATCTGTGACCATCTATGAAATATGTGTCACGATTTAACCCTGCCTCTCACTATTAATTACACCCACAGCTGGAGCAGGCGTTACGCTTTGAGACGGGAGACGGGGACCACGATTCACTGGAGTCTCGCAGCCTGGCGCAGCAGAACGTGGATTTGCGCCGGCGGCTGGACGAGGAGCAGGCGGCCTACAAGCGCAAACTCACTGCGTACCAGGAGGGTCAGCAGAGGCAGGCGCAGCTCGTGCAGAAGTTGCAGGCCAAGGTAGGATTGTTTTACTCTTAAGCTGAGATGTTGTCGTCTGGCTGTTACAAGTCTGTAATAGTTCTGCTGCTACTTCAGGTACTCCAGTACAAAAAGAGGTGTGGGGATCTTGAGCACATGCTGCAGGAGAGGTCCTCAGAGCTGGAGAAACACAGGAGTGTGAGTGGCATTTATTGATAGATTTATCCACACCAACATTACACTTTCCATAAATAACTTATATAAATAATACCTTAACTTAAATAACATTCAAACTATCACATCTTCTCATTTAGGGCCACAGTGAAACATCTAATGGTCGCCATCAAGACGATTCGAGCAGCAGCCTTGAGGATGCTTTAATCCGTCTGGAGGAAGAACAACAGAGGTGATTACATTCTCCTGGTCTAGTGTGCGTTCTTTTTTTTCCTCGACTTGCTCTTCCAACGTCATGTATTTGTTTCCAGGAGCAGCAGTTTGTCTGCGGTGAACGCCATGCTGCGAGAGCAGCTGGAGCAGGCCGGTTTGGCCAATGAAGCTCTCAGCCAGGACATCCGCAGGCTCACCGCTGATTGGACAAAGGCCAGAGAGGAACTGGAACAAAAGGAATCTGACTGGAGGAGAGAAGAGGAGGTGAGGAGGAAAGAGGGATGCTTACGAAGCATTTTAAATGGAGGAAAAATGTAAAGAGAATTAACTTGTTATTTCTGTCCCCGGCTTCCCTCTCAGTCCTTCCACAGTTACTTTAGTAGTGAGCACAGTCGACTGATGGCGCTGTGGCGGCAAGTGGTCGGGTTTCGGAGGCAGGTCTGTGAAATGAAGAGCGCCACTGAAAGGTTAAGATCAGCAATATATTTATTTATTTATACTATTTGCCAAAAGATCCTATTTCCTGTGTTCTGATTTGAATCTCATCCTAAATGGGCACACGCATCCAAATTTAATGGTGCTTAACTTTTCCTTCTCTCTAATCCCAGAGACTTGTCAGATATGCGTAACGAGCTGGCTCGGGCGTCCCATTCCGCTCAGGTGTCCTGTTCTGGCCTGTCCGTCACGCTGCATAGCCGGGAGGGAGGAGCAGCTTTGGCCCTGGAGCGAGAGAAAGCGCTGCGGGTTCAACTAGAACAGCAGCTAAGAGAGCGAGTGGCAGAGATGATGAATCTTCAGACCAGGACGGACGCAGAGAGAAGTGAGCTCAATGTCAGGTTAGTGACTGTCTTGAGCTCTCTTATTGGATAAGTTCTTAGTGATTGAACAACGTTTTCATGATGCTATTTTAAATTAGTCTTAATCTGTATTATTGTGTCAACTTTCAGGTTGTCAGACTCGGTGCGAGAGAGCGAGAGACTAAAGGGCCAAATTGAAGAGCGAGACAGAGAAATCGTCATCCTGACCAGGAAGCTTGAGGTAAGAGGTTGTTTATGTCATATAGTCAAAAATTAAAAAAAACACATCAATGAGTTGATCCAGCAGACACAGTCCTGCCGACGTAAAATGCTAATTTCTCCAAATGTGTATCAATCCGCAGCTGAAATTAGCTATTTGCTCCTGTTTGAGTCAAATTTGTGTCCAGCTGTTTGAGGAATAGTTTTATCCTTATTTAAAAATGAAACTATGTTATCTCTACCTGTTTTGTCTTCAATAGCAACTAATTAGCTTGTAGTGAGTCACAGTAGGGAGGTCAGAAAGTATTGAGAAACTGGCTAAAGCATTCATATCATTTTGGTCTTTTTATGAGATTTGTTGAAAATAACAAAAACAAAGAAAGATTCCAGCCTTATCCTTAAAGGCTGTAGTGTGTTTGAGTGGTCAGTTGCATTAATCTTCATCCTCCAGGCGTCTGTGCTTCATTTCTTTGTTTTCCTTCAGGAGCAGAGTGGTAATGATGAGACTGACATGCAGGTGATGAGATCTCACACTGAGACATTGTTGGACACTCTGCGTGACATCGCTCAGGTAAACAACTACACACTTACACACTATTTTACATCATTAAGATGGACGTGACTCATTTTTATTTTCTTTCATTAGACCGTTTTGTCAGACGGAGAGTCGTCTTCAGAGGCAGACCAGGACAACTCCGGGGCTCCACTGCTAGCGTTGATCCGTGGCTCCTCCCCTCGCCGCTCCTCCTCACCTCGCAGGTCATCCTCCCCCTCTCGGCCCTCCTCGCTGACTCCTCTTTCTGACGCAGCACTGTCTGCTCTGCGCTCTGCAGTCACAAACAAGACGCTCCAGCTGCAGGTGACATGTTGATTTTGAAACCGTCAATATGATAAAGAATCACTCTCACTGTTTACTGTTTACACTGTTTTCATTTCATTACAGGAATTGTTTCAGACATATAGTTAATGTTTTGTTTAAGCTAAAAATAATGCTGATTTTATGCTTATACTTGTGATACGTTTATATTGGGAGGATTTGGATATAAATGTCCATATATGTTAGTCTTTAGTTTTTATACCACTGGTGAGGTGCCTCTAGTGGTACACGGAGGAATCTCAGAATTTTTTCAATAAAATGAAAAAAACAAAACAAACATACAATACAATAATAATAATATATATAATAATAATCAAAATACAACAAAATTCTGAATAAAACTACTTAAACTATGAGGTCACTAAAACGTAATTTAAGTTTTGCATTTAAAATGAATGGTTAAAAAACACCGTGGCATGAAACAGGAATTTTTGGGAAGAGATGTGTGGACCAGGAGCAAATCTTTTCCAGTTGGCTCCGGTTGTTGAACCTGCTCCGTTCAGGATTCAACAACAGTCAACAATAAATAATCTTATTAGGAATAAACCTTCCTCCTGCGTGAACTGTCTGTAGCTAAATACGGTCAGCATGCACTACTGTATCTTAACGTCATAATGGTGATATTTGGAGAGCATAATATTTCCTGATATTAACACTGTTTTAGGCAATAATAACTGAGAGATTGGACTATGACTACATTTATTTAACCTTTAGGCTCCCACAGCCACAGCTGTCTATTTATTAGCAAATAAATTAAAGGGTCAGTTAACTCAAATAACCAAGACCACACTTTCTCACTTATACCTAGTGGTATCATGCCGCATGCTGATAGTTTTGGTTTTGTTTGCGCAAATGTTTGTCAGTGAGATTTCTGCCTCCATCCATATACAGACACAGTTAATAAAATAAAATTAAAATAAAATGCTACTAATCTACAACCCTCACCAATGAGTTTTCATTGGCACAACTTTGTTTTTTAAGAAATAGTCTCAAATAGTCCTACAAACAAAATACTCAACTCCACTTGTGTTTGCAGGATGTTCGAGGGCGTCTGCTCTCTGCACAGTCCTCCATACAACAGTTGCGCAAGCAGATTTCAGAGACTGATTTGGCTAAAAGAGATGCAGAACAGCGAAACCAAGCTCTTCAGAGAGAGAGGGATGCTGCCCAGAGAGAGAGGGAGACCACACAGCGAGATAAAGACCGTCTGAAGCAGGAGAGAGACACCCTGGCCAGGTTTACAGACAGTTATATCACCTTTTACAATCTGCCTCTAATCCTTGAATCTTGTAAGTGTATGTAACTATAACTCTACAACACGAATGTTCTCCTTCACACATTATTTGCAGTGAGAAGGTGAGCTTGGAGAAAACTGTGCAGTCGGCACAGAGCAGCTGCCAGATGCTGCAGATGGATTGCGAGAAGCTTCAGCTGACTGTGTCTTCCGTGCAGCGAGAGCGAGATCACGAGAGGGAGGAGAAAGAGGCCGTCATTCAGGAGAGAGACCGGGCGAAGGCAGAGACTCAGAGGATGTAAGTAGGGCTAATTGATAGTGATGTGATGTGGAGACTAATCCACAAAGTCTTGTGCAGCCAGCAGACAGTGCATATACTTACAGGAAGCCATTCAAAAGATCTGTAATCTCATACAGAGAGATCTTCTTTTATAAACCCCTCCCGCCTCGTTCTACCAGTTCTCTGACCTCCCTTACAACCCCAAACATCAGTGAACAGATGTGTTATAAACCCCTTATCCAAAGCACCATGGCACCACCAATACCATTAAATTAATTTTCCACATATCAGACAAGCCAGTTGACTCAGTTTCTTTGTCAGATGGCTGAAAAAGCGTACATTTTTGGACTTTTTTTTACTTCTTGTACACGTTCGAAAATCTAAATGAAAAACTGAGAAAATTAAATTAAATAGTGGAAAAAACAGTGAATCACAGTACTTCTGTGTATGTATGCGTACAAATAATCCCCCTGAACATGACAATATGTCTAAGTCTCTTATCAGTCGCCCAGAAGTGTATTGTTACAGTACAGGTTGTGTATTGTTTTGCTACAGACAAAAGCAGTGGGATCAGAGTGAGAATCGAGCCTCTGCTCAGCGTGGAGAGCTGTCTGTTGTGAGGGAAACACACCAGCAGGGGGAGGTTGAGAGGCAGCTGTTGGAGGGAGAGAGAGCCCAACTCTCTGAAGCACTGGCTCGGGTAAGAAAAAGAAAGTATATGCTCATTTAACTTTTGTAGATTTAATATACTGTGTTGTCATGTTATGTATGATTTTTGCATGATGCTCATTTTTGCTGCAGGCTGAGAGCAGGAACGCAGAGCTCTCTCTGCTGCTTAACAAGCTGCAGTCTGAGGATGCAGCTCTCAGGGACTCTCTGGCCAAGATGGGAAGCATGAATGAGGGTCTGGCCCAGGACAAAGCTGATCTTAACATCTACATTCTCCAGGTAAGGTCATTTAAGAATGTATCTGACCTCTTAAAGGGTTCAGTACACCTGAAGAATGGCACGTGCATGACGTGCATAAACTAGGGAAGGTGTAATGGTATGCCAATGTTCATTAGAACTAAATCGTTGAATGTAATTTGTCCTTATAAATAGACTTTTTTCACAGCAGAATTGTAGGGTAAACACAGGTGTTACCAGTGATACTAATAAAGTTATGTTTCACAGGTCAAACAGAGCCAGGGTGCTGCTGTTGAGCTGGAAAGGCTCCACTAAATGAAATGGAACTAAACCTTAATTAATGTTATTGGTAACACCTGTGTTTACCCTACTGTTTCAAGATGGCTGCTGTGAAAAGGGTTCATAATGTCCTTATTAATGTATTAATAATAATATATTAATATAATTAACGTCTGAGTCTTCACTCCGTCTGTAAGCTGGAGGAGGAGAAAGCCGTCCTGCAGTCTCAGAAACGGGAGGCGGAGCAGGAGAAGTTGACCATCAGAGATGAGCTGGTCCGGTTGGAGCAGGATCGGCTGGAGCTGGACTCTGCCCGCATCACGCTGCACCACTCGCTGCAGGACGTTGAGCTAAGCCGGGTGGGGATGGAGGCAGAACTCCAGAGTCTCAGGGCTGAAAGACTTAAGCTGCAAGAGAGAGTCACCCAGGTACATAACCTTTAAATGATTATGTAATATAATCTGTTAAGTCCGACCCAAAAACCTAAATACTTCTTATGCAGATACAATTATGTTTCATAGATGTTTATTATCTGGCTAAAATGGCTAACTATGAGTAATATAAGAAGTCATACCAATTTCTCAATACCATGAAATGACAGAAAAGTCCATTACATAACATATTTCCTGGAAATACCACACGAGAATGAAATTTCTAGTTTACATATGGTTTCTCATTTAAGTTTGTTTACCCTCTTTTTGGGCTTTTGTTGACAGCTTTGTGGCGAGGTGACCTCTCTGGGATCCGAGTTGAGTCTTGCCAGAGGAGAGGGCCAGAGGAGCGAGGTGGCCTTAGAGGAAGCAGGCCGGAGTCGGTCAGAACTGGCCCGAGACAAAGCAGCGCTGGTCGTCCAGCTGACGGCGTCTGAGAGAGAAAACACTGTGCTGTCAGAGGAACTCACTGCTTTCAGGTGTGTGTCGTCGTTGTCTGCCGATGACATTTTTCACACGAGTCACGAGTGTGTGTAACTTGTGTTCATGACCCTGCAGGTCCGAGCGGGAGTCCCTGGAAACCAGTCTGTTCGAGGTGCAGCAGCAGCTTGTTCAGGTGGAGTCTCGTAGAGAGCAGCTGGAGACAGAGAACCAAAACCTTCGAGTCCGCTGTGAGACTGCAGCAGGTGAGTGACAAAGGGGCAGAAAACATACAAAAGCAAAGACGACTTTGAAGAGAGAATTAGATGAATGAATCAGAAAAGCGAACCAGATTTAAGCTATGACACAAATGTTCATGTTAAGATGTTTGGTATCATGGGGCAGACAGTAATATTACAGAATAAGAACCTAATGATCCTGTGTCCCTTCTCGTGGATGTTTTTCTGGATTTACAGCTGAACTGAGACGTCTGCGCTCAGATGGAGAGAATGTGTTGGCCCAGGCTGAGAGGGAGAAACAGGCTCTGACTCAGGCTCTGAATGCTGCTCAGCTGGAGGCCCAGCAGGCTTTACGCAAGGTCATCTCCGAACATCAGGAGGAGGTGGAGAGACTGGTCTCAGAAAAGGTCAGAAGGTTCAGTGTTACTTAAAACACTTCCTGTACACCTATTTTTGCTTTTTGGCTAAGGTGCTGATGACTGTTTAATCCATGTTTGTGCTCTTGGCGGCTCTGTTTCACAGGAAGTTGTGCGGCACAGCCTGCTGATGGAGCATGAGGGCACTCTGAGGAAGCTCAGGCAGGAGGCAGAGGATCAGCTCCAGAGAGCAGAGAGAGAACGAGAGGAGCTGCAGGATGAACTGAGGAGTCTCCAGCATGACAGAGATCAGAGTCTGCTGCAGGCTGAGACTGAGAAACAACAGGTGTGATCTGGGTTCAAGCCTCTGTAAGAAACTGTGGTGCTGTAAAGGATGGGCTCGGTTTATAATCGCTTAACAGCCGATGAAAACAGTATGATTGTAAAAGAGTGTACAGTAATTATTTAACAGGATTTTGCAAGCCTTGCTTCATCAGACTCCTAAAAAGGTTTTCTCTCTCTTTCCCAGGCTCTTTCTCTGAAGGAGGCAGAGAAAACAGTTTTGTCTGACAGGGTGTCCTCCCTGCAGGCTGAGCTGTCAGCGGCAGCTCTGGAGGCCGAGCGGATGTCGAGAGAAGTAGCCCATTACAAGGAGCAGGAGCAGGTGATTTCCTGTCTGAGTTTATCCTTTGTTGTTGTTGAATTATCTTCTATCTAACACACAAGGAAGCATAAGGAAGATATACTAAATTGACACTTTAATTTACACAGATCAGAGTCGGAGCTCTGACCAGCGAGCTGCTGGAGCTTCGCTCTCAGGTAGAGGAGACGGCTTCTGTTCATGAAAGGGAACTGCACAGTCTACGAGAGACTTGTACGGATCTTCAGTCACGTGCTGATGTTGCTCTCAAAGAGGTAGATGATGCTGTACAAATGAGAATATGATTTCTGTTCACATTCATATTCATATCTACATTTATATACACGTAGTGACAATCATGGGATCCATGTGCGGTGTTATTTTCATTAAAGCAGGGACAGTGCAGTCAAGGGAAAACTGTGTTTACTGCTGAAAATTTGTGTTCCAAACACTGAAAGCAGTTTAAAGTTTAGGTGAAGTTCCTGTAATAGATTGAGGTGGAAGAGTCAGTTAAAGTTTATTAAGTAAAAGCTGAAGTGTAAGAGCTGAAAGCTGTTTAAATGAACTGTCTGAACTGTGGAAGCTGTGGGAGTTAGAAGAGCTAAAGAAAATAAGTTTTTGTTATTTATTTATAGAGCTGACACTTGAAAGGATAAAATACCAGTTGATATGTAATCACTGAAAGAAAACAGGTTTATTGCCAAGTAGGTTTGAGTTGGTGTTTCGTTACAAGTACTGTAAAAGATAAATGAAGAGTCCTTAAAATTTGTTATTGTAATAAAAAAAAAAATGTCAGCCTGCATCTGTATGTGGATCTTCATCAACATGCATGTAGTGATAGATGATCATGAGAGACATGCTCCCTATTATTAGTAAATTAATTTACCATCCAACCAGAAGGGCCAAAGAAGTAAAGTGCATAGTAATGTACATATCTATAGTGGTAATATATAGAATAAACAGAAAGGGGTATATATATATATATAT